TCGTATAAAACGGCTTCTACTTGTGGTGCACATTATTTTTTGACTCTTGTTGATGATTTTTCAAGAGGTGTTTGGGTCTATTCATTAAATGATAAAACAGAAGTTTACTCTTCTTTTTTCTCTTTCTTGGCTATGATTAAATGTCAATTTGATGTGACTGTTAGTGTGTGCGGAGTGATAATGGTACGGAATTCAATCACATGATCCTGTAGTTCAATGACAATGGCATTCTTTTCCAAACTTCTTGTGTTGGTACTCCATAACAAAATGGTCGTGTTTAGCGTAAGCATCAATATATATTGAATGTGAGTCGTGCTTTGATGTTTCAAGGCAATCTTCCGATTGGTTTTTAGGGTGAATGTATCCTTAGGGCGGTGTGTTTTATCAATCTCACTCCCTCTCGTCTTTTAGACAATAAAACACCGTATGAAATTTTGTTTGGCAAAGAGCCTAATTTTGATGAATTGCGAGTTTTTGGTTCACTTTGCTATGCTCATAACCAAAAGGCTAAGGGTGATAAATTTGCACCTCGAAGCCGGAAGTGTGTGTTTGTGGGATTTTTCATGGAAAAAAGGGTTAGAAGCTATATGATCTAGAGTTGGGTGATATTTTTGTATCAAGAGATGTCAAATTTCATGAGAACGAATTTCCGTTTGCTACTAATTGTGCCTCTAATGATACAAGTCTTGCTGCCTCGCTCTGCCGTATCTAGTGATAACAATGGGGTTGATGTCAATTTCTTGAACGATCTTGAGCATGTTTTGGTAGTTGGAGAGGCTGCCCTTGATACCAAAGCTTCGGACAGCCCACACTGCAGCCCTTCTACGACTCAAAACCCCCAACGCAGCTCCCCTGTGGCTGCTACTGATGCTGCTACTGCTGCCAACTCCCCTACGGCTACTCCTGAGCTTGGTGCGACTAGCAGCACAGCCCGCACAATTGAGTCAGCTGCGACATCGACCAGCAGCTCCTCTACCAGTGATCTTGGTCGTGGTCTTCGTTTTAAGCACCCACTGGGTTGGCACCATGATTATGTCGCACATAATGTATCTATTCCGAGTCCATCTCACAGTTCACCGTCCTCTAGCTCCTCAGGTATTCCTTATCCCTTAGCACATTTTGTGAATTATACTAAATTCTCTATTGGCCATCGTACATTTCTTGCACCCTTGGATGTAGGTTGTGAGCCCTGTAATTTCAAGGAAACTATGACTGATGCGGGTTGGAGAGAGGCTATGAAAAAGGAGATTTCTACCTTGGAGGACAACGAAACTTGGATGATGGAAGAGTTGCCTCCTGGGAAGAAAGCTGTAGGGTGAAAATGGGTCTACAAGAGTACTAAACTTAACTCTGATGGCACTATTGAACAGTTAAAAGCCCGTCTTGTAATATTTGGCAATCATCAAGTTAAAGGGATTGATTACATCGAGACCTTTGCTCCCGTGGCTAAAATGGTTACTGTTCGTGCTTTCTTGGCCTTTGCAGCTGCAAAGAATTGGGAACTACATCAAATGGATGTACATAATGCATTCCTTCATGGCGATCTTGATGAGGAGGTGTATATGAAACCCCTCCCGGATTTCATGGCAACACGGATTTCGTGGAAACAAAGCGGGCTTGGTGTGTCGACTTAAAAAGTTTCTTTATGGTATTTGTCAAGCTCCACGTTGTTGGTTTGCAAAGTTGGCAGGCTCACTCAAAAGGTACGATTTTTCACAGTCGTACTCTAACTACTCTCTCTTTACTCTGAATAATGGTGATGTGCAACTCAGTGTTCTGGTCTATGTTGACGATTTGATAATTTCTGGTAACTCCCCTTATGCAATTTCTGAGTTCAAGAATTATTTGAGTAAATGCTTTCATATGAAAGATCTGGGTGTTTTGAAATATTTTCTTGGTATTGAGGTTGCTCAAAGTCCCGAAGGAATTTTTTTTGTGTCAGCAGAAATATACTCTCGATGTAATTGCAGAAACAGGTTTGTTAGGGGCTAGGCCATCCGGCATACCGATTGAGCAAAATCATAATTTGGTAAAATCGGATGGTCCGTTTATTGATGATCCGGAGATGTATCGACGCTTAGTGGGGTGCCTGATTTACTTGTCCTTTACTCACCCGGATTTGGCTTACACAGTTCACACATTATCTCAATTTATGCACCAACCGCGTTAACAACATTGAGATGCCGCATTACATGCCGTACGGTACTTGAAAGGCTGTCCAGGACAAGGTATTCTTCTTAGCTCTGATTGTGATTTGCAGTTAACTGGATGGTGCGACTCGGATTGGGCTAGTTGTCCTTTGACTCGTTGATAGATTACTGGTTGGTTAGTGTTTCTTGGGGGTTCTCCAATTTTCTAGAAAACCAAGAAACAACATACAGTCTCCAAATCTTCTGCATCTGCAGAGTATCGTTCTATGGCAACGGTCAAGTCAGAGTTATAATGGTTAAAGGCTTTGCTTGTTAGCTTGGGAGTGGCACACCCGCGTGCGATGAGTTTGTTTTGTGATAATCAATCCGCATTGTATATTGCTCAAAATCCGGTTTTTCATGTGCACACTAAACACATTGAGATTGACTGTCATTATGTGCGCGATGCGATTCAAGATGGTACCATTCGGCCATCTCATGTGAAGACAACGGAACAACTTGCGGACATTTTTACCAAGGCTTTAGGCACTCAACAATTTTCTTATCTATTAGCCAAGTTGGGCATTTGTGATTTGCATGCTCCGGCTTGAGGGAGTGTTAAGCCTTGTATTGTATACTAGTTAATGGGCCAATGTGTTAAGGCCATATATGTTTATATTAAGTTGTATATATACTTGAGAATAGAGAAATACAGAAAAATTAATTCCTAGCTCACAATATCTAGCATATTTGATTCCTGTTGGATCGAGTTAATATCAGGTTGTTTTATCGTTCGGGTTAAAATTTGAGAGTGATAATTGTATAACAGTGAAAGTGAAGCGAAGTGTGCATTAATGGTGCTTTCTTTTTTGAGAACTTTAATTGATTCTATAGTTGATTAGCATGTGTGTTATTGTTGAATAAACATTATTTTATGTAAAAGTTCTCACACGGAACAACTGCGGAAGCTCCACGCACCAAATTAAGATAATAAAATATCTAATCTTCCACCACAGTCATGCCATTAGGAGAAGAAAGATTAAATAATTTTAGTATCAATGTATGAAAAATGTGAGTATGTGACAATTTTTGTCGAACATATATTAACAATTATATTATTACTTAATCTTTCCTTTATAAAAATTGAAGAAAGTAATTAGTAGATGGGAAAAAAATTAAATAAAAAATTAAAAAAATAAAAAATAAAGTGATGGACCATCAATGAAAAGTACGAGTAGAAGATAGAATATAGACGAAGAGTAGGGGACAAAAAAGGGTTTGGTCATATAATAGTAGTGAAAAAATAGTGTTAACTTAAGCTCATGAAAAGAAAAGAGAAAGTTTCTTTTCTCTAAACTTTCTCTTTTCTGTTCATAGAAAAAAAAAATAATAAGTAATTGTTCACAAATGACCTTATCTTAAATGTAGTTTTAGACAAAATTTCCTATGATCTTTCACTATGATTAGTTAATTGATAACAGTCTTTTATTACCTTAACTTTAACAACTGCCATATTACATATATCATCTCATATATTTTATCTTTTTCTTATTGTTTACATTATCTTTATAATTTTACAATTTTTTTCATCAAACTTTCAGAATTAATCGGGGTACAATAAATTTTGTACTCGTGCATCTATAGTTAGTAAGTTACACTCTAATGATCCAAATTTACTTGTAATGTAAAATTACCTATGTTTTATTGCTAAAAGTTACTATCTTTAATGGAGTAAAAATCAAATCTCATTATATGAAGTAACTATGTTATACAATTCCTCAAAAAAAATGTTATCCTTATATAAAAATTATTTCATGGCTTATTTACATTAAAAATAAAAAAATAAAAAAAATTATATCAAGTTTAAAGTTACTCAAATTAGATATTAAAACTCTAATATAAAGTCAACAATTCAGCATGTACAACCTTTTTAAATAAGCGGAGTGTACAATTACCAATAACAGGCAATTATCTTAATATAAAAGAAAAGTTATCTAAAATTTTTTACAAACAAAATTAAGCTCTTTACAAGAAATTAACCTCGTTATAATCACATAATGCATACAAGTAATCATATTATCCCTACAAAATTGCAGAGTAGTAGAGTACCTACAACTGGACAATGTACAATAAAATTATTGTAAACCGAGTGTGCCTAAAAATTCATAGTGATCCGTAACTTCTAGTAAGTAATTATTATTTTTATTATGGACCTACACAAAACAAGTATAAATTAGAGAATAAACACTCAAAACAGTAATAGTATCCAAATGCTTCCCCCCTTAACCCACCGTCCATTCCTCTCACACATGTACAGCTCATTTCCATTTCTCTCTCTTCAATTTCTATTCAAGATAAGAGCACACCAATATGTGGGACCCATTAAATTATATTTAGAGGGTCCCTTCTGTTATAGAAAGACATGTTATAAGGTGGCGAGTAACGACCTATTCAACCATTGAATCATCCCATCTTTTTTATTTTCTAGTCCTTCCAATTAGGAAGGTGGTAGGAAGGTGATGGAAGTGAAAGTGATTAGTGAATAACCTATCTCTAGCTTTGCCTAACTTTGACTCGACTTCTTTGTGTTTTCCTCTAAAATATCCAATTTCACTTTGACACTTAAATGACTAGGTTTTACTAAACTAGGATATATTAGGGGCCACTTTTTCACTTTACTACCAAATACAAGTAATTGAGTGAGTGATGAATCAATCAATAGGATGGATAACATTATTCTGAGACAAATAATCTAACAAAACCCGATATGACTATACAAATCACAAACGACAATCCAAGCAAAAGTTTGAAGACTAACCCAAATCATGGCTACTTTTAGCCCATACATAAACATTACAAATTTTCATCAAATGAGCATAATACAAGAAAAATTACAATTAAGCAAGGGGTGATTGTAGATCAAAACATATTTATATTATATACTGTGGGTTTATCAAGATTGCTACATCATAAATTATATAGTCGGAAAAGTAAAAATAAAGTTTAAAACCAGAAGGCCTTCTCCCATCAGAGTGAGGCCAAACATCAACTACTGCTAGATGGGATATATGGATGCAAGAAAGTAAAATGGAAGGAAGTCTACTATGTTGGTTCTTCAGATAATCTAAAAAGAAAAGAAAAGGATAAAAATCAAAGCTAAAAATTAAGCAGGCGAAGCTTTCACCTATTTGAAAGAAGAGATCTAAAAGCAATCTCCTTCTCAGAATGTACAGCTTGCTGGTTACTCCTCGATTTCGACTTCCTTCATGGCCAAATCCTTCACTTACAGGTTCCAGATAGAGCTGTCCTGCCTCGAGAGCTGGTCGAAATCGATTGTTGAGAGGTTGAATGGGGTGCCATATCCGAAGTCTGCCATGTTGTCATTCAGAGTCATCCCATAAGAAGGATCAAAAGCCCTACAATGATCCAGCTGAATTGCATTTGACGGGTAAACAGAACCGCCCATGTTATTTCCCTGGTGGGTAACATTGCCCCCGGGCACTGCTCTCTGGTTGGAGAAGCTGTTGTCGATTGCAAGCGGCTGAATTTTCTGTTCAGGCTGGTTTACATTTGTTCCTTGGAAAACAACGCCGCCCATTGGAAACTGATGCTTATGATGTTGATTGTTGTTCCCATTTAAGGCCATCCCTTGAGCTAAAAAGGCATTTTCTATTTGGAACTGAGACACCTTTGGTTGCATCTGATTATGATCCTTCATAGTATTTATGTTCATTCCTTGGGAAGCATTGTTTCCAAACATAGCACCTTGGTTAACAAAGCTTCCACCCATCTGATTATTTTCCATAAAGTTTGCGTTCCCTGCACTGACATTCTTGCTCTGAGGGGTGCTAGTATCGTACACTGACATCAGATTGCTTATCAGATTTTGACCATCTTCAGGAATTTCAAGGCCAGAAACACTGAAGGTAGCTGGTGCCTGATTCTCAGATTGGAGAGGCAGCTTCTCCTGTTGTGCAAAGGATGTAGGAAAGTTTGAAGCTTCAATGTTATTTCTCTGGAAATTGGTTGCTCCAACACCGAGAGTAGGAGAACTAAACTTATACGGGCAGTTCTGTTGGTGATTATTTCTTGAGTTCCGATCAAGGAAACCAAGACGGCTATCCCCATAAGGGCATTGAGGATACTCGCAAACAAAAATCTTCTGATCCAATACCATATGAGACCCAGGAGATGGCTGCTTCCTCTTTTCAGTAAATTCTGAAACATGGGTATCAATGACCTCTCCCTTAATCACAGAAGCCATCATAGGGTTAGAAGTCATCATAGGATTAGTAGCCATGAATTTCTCCCTCTCTGCGCCAACACCAAAATTGAAGATATTGATATTCTGTGGCTTGCTGTCATCCACTTCACTGTTAGGATCAGTTTCAACCCCTTCAACATCATAGTCACTAGTATCACTAATGACCAAGGACCCACCACCACCAGCAGTTGGAGGTGGGCATCGATCAGGATAGAGTTTCCGGGCCAAAGCCTCTTCCTGATTGATGATGGCAAGCCATGTAGCACTTTCTTTGGCTGTCATCTTATCCTGCAGACACTTGGACTGACGAACAAGCTTCCTGATCTTTGCTATATCAGGTGACATATGCTTGATGACAGCTGTAAGAACACTAACCTTCCACGCCTTCTTCAGATCATGAGGTTTCTTATATGGTGGTGCTCCTTGATCCTTTGGGAGGCCCAACTGAGGCCACCATTCTTCATTTCCAGAGGGCCACCAGGGTGGGGGAACACCTTTCTCCAAGGGGAACCGCCTCTGCGGTGGATCACAGTGTTGCATCAGAGCTGATAATAGAGATCCAAGTGTAGTGTCTTGGAGCTCCTGCAAGGTGTGAGGAGTTGAAGCCAATGCATTGCAGTCCTCTTCGCTCCCTGGGAGGGAATGATCTGCTTGATACTTGGCAATGGCTGCAGGACCATTCCTGTCAAATCGAACTTTCTCTTTCCACCAGGCTCGCAGATTGTCAGAGGCTCCGCTAACAGGTTTTCCCTTCTCAGGAATAATCCCATAAACAAAACCCTGGGCCTTACAGACCTCCATCATTTTCAGCATGTATTTCAGAATCCCGTCCTGTGCCCTTGACATCTTCTTCCTACGAGCCTGCTCCTGTGACTGACGCTGCTTAGCTGCATCAACTCCTTCTTTGGCCTTATCTTTGCTCTGTTCCTTAAGCTTCTTCAGAAGCATCCTGTCTCTCCACATACGCCGCTCAAGCTCATCAACATCTACCTCTTCATCAGAGTAGTCCTCATCACCAGTCCCTTCTTGTTCAGCTTCACGGCCAGCTTCTCCCTCCTCCGCCATGGAAGGGGGAGGAGCAAAGAAATCAAAGCTTGAACAAAAACCCATATCATCAAGCAAACCCATTTTTGCCGATGAAATCATCTTCAAAGACCTCAAGGAAACTAAGGAAAGACACTAGCAACAGATGTTTAAATGAATGACCGACGACTTGTTAATCGCTCCGGTGAAGGTAAAGTCAAATAATCTCCCTACTTATAGAAGAAATTCCACCAAAAAGAAGTATAGAAATATAAGGGGGTTTATTTGCTCAGCCTGCAAAATGCAAAATCAAGCAACCCACATAAATATAAAAGTTACAATATTCAAGAGATTGGATTCAATGAACGAGAAAACATTTAATTTAATGTTACGCAAATTATACACATTTTTAATTAAAGTCTATTTATTACCGAGATTTGAACCATAATTATTAACACGTATTTTACAGCTTTGCTCATAAAACTCTTCACATCTACAATTAAAAAAAAGCTCAAAATATCACCTTTTCAAAAAAATAAATTATGCAATAAACACACTATTCCAAATATTTAGAAGACAAACCGATGAACTTCACAAATTCACAAGTAATGCAAATCAAAATTAAATATTTTTAAACTTCAAATTTTATCCTACAGTAAAAATGCTAATTACGAGTAATTAACTTAATTACATCAAATGACGCGTGATTTATTGATAGATAATCCATATGAAGTACAAAATGATGGAAATAAAGGTTATGATTAGTTGTGTGAAAAACAAGCATGAGAAAGATAAAGAATTGACCAATAGATCCAAGTGTGGAGACCTGTTAATTATAAACTCAAGGAATTTAATAATTTTTTCTAAATGATTAATTACAGCCAATTCCAGCAAATATAACGCATTTATCAAGCAAGTCAAACTCACTTCATCATTTTACAAGCAATTTAACTCATTGAATTAACAATTTTTCATTCTCTATTTACCCAATAGCAAATCTCACACATACTTTAATGTGACACATCAAAAGCTATCCCCAAATAAAGAGAAAATTATATGTGATCGAATACTAAGTTATTGTGAGACCGTCTCGATTTAGCCTTTTCCCGATCATATCATCTGATCAAACATTCAAATAAGAAGTTTTTATTTTTTTTATGAAAAATATAAAAGATATTTGATTAGTGAAGCAAGAACCAATTTTACTTACATCAAAAAAACAAAGAACCAATTTTTCTTACTATCCTTAAAAAGTAGTAAAATAAACTTTAAAAAACCCAAAAAAAAAAAATTTAAAAAAAATCAAACAAAATTTTAAAGAAAAAAATGAACCCAATGGCCACTTTATAAAGTTATGTAATGGGTATCGATTGGTCATAGTAATTTTTTTTTTTTTTAGGAAAGCAATATCTTTTTATGATAATCAAAACAAACAAATAATTATAAAACACAAAAAATCATGTCATAAAATTTAGGAATCATAAAAAAAAATTAAAAAAAGCACCCAAAAATAGATGATTCCCAAATATGTCCATCAAAATAAAATTGAACCAACAAACACCAAGAACAACACCAAAAAGAATAAATAAACAAATTAAATTAAAAAATAAAATAAAACCAATTATTCACCAATAAAAATTGAAGGAAAATAAAATAGATCCAAAAACCCATGAAAAATAAGCTAAGATTATTACCTCTACGTTGCTCCCATGGATGATCTCAAACTCTAGTAAAGGTGAATGATTTTAGAGAGATAAAGCAGAGAGAGAAAGAGAAGAGCTTTTTTCTCTTTTTTGGAATGGTGGTGGACAAAATGGAGAGGGTAAGAGAGAGGAAATGGAGGTTGTGGGGTTGTCTAAGATGGTGGACAGTATCTTTTGTTTTGTAGTATTTATATAATAATATATTCATAAATTTATTTTTTTTAACTAGGGTTAGTTGACTAAGAGTTACTTATTATTACATGTAAATACTATCTTTCATTTTGAGTGATTTTATTGGGTATGATACATCCCTGCCCATTTTCCCATCTTTGTAAAATCTCTAGCCACACATCTTGGGAGGAATATGCTTGCTCTTGATTTTTTAATTTTATTTGTTTTACCAAGGATGTAATATAATAATGCTATATACTAAGGTTTATGATTAATTAAGTATTTTGTGCTTCAAACTTTAACTTTTTTTAAATATAATATAAAAAATTTACCGTATATTTTGAGTTTATAAGGTTTACGGTGTATTTTGAATATTATTTAGAGTTGTTTTAATAGGCAAAAACTAACAAACGTCCCGCGAGCGTTGGATAAGACAGCTAAAAGTAGAAATATTAAATTATAATGAACATTAATAACACTGATTGACACGTGATTTTGGCATGCTTTTCTAAATTAATACTACTTTAAAAAATATTTTAAATGCTTAACTACCGTCCTAGGGGCGTTCGTTAGCAAGATCAATTTTAATATAGTGAAAGTGATTTTATTCGTTGAAATTATGTTAGAAAAAATGACTAAATTAGGGTTCGTTTGGCATCGTTGCAGTTTTCTGTTTTTTGATTTTTTGTTTTTCAAAATCATATGATACGTCGTATATTGAATTAAAAAATAATCAAACTTTTTAATATCATAATAATTTTGAAAACTGATAACAGAAAAATGGAAACACCTTTTTTTAGTTTCCTGTTTTTGGTTTTTTGTTTTAAAAAAAAAAAACAGAAAACTGAAAGAAAAAAAAACGACGCCAAGTAAGCCCTTAGTAATGCAATGTTCGATAATTATTCTAAAAATTTGAGTTTTATATTTGATGGATTAGGGTGGGTATGGGAGCGTCATCTTTACTTTTCTTCCTCTTTAGTTACAGATTCACCGTGTAAATACATCATCTGAACCGATCTTTTTTTAATAACCATATATTAAACAAAATCCTAGAATTGGAAGGAAAAAAAAACAAAAAAAAAAACATCCAAATTCGGTCAGCTCTACTTGAAGGTCTAAGATGAAAATTAGGTTATTCTAGTAATATATTATTGGTGTAATTTTACTTATTTAGTTACTCGAATGTATTTAGAAATTTTCTCTATTATAAATCTAGCTTGATTATTTTATCATAGAGTCTCATAGTTGGGAAATTCCTAAATTATGCCCAGTGGTATGTAGTTCATCTTATTACAAGTATACCACTTCCAGTTTTATATGAATTTGGATGATGAGCCATGCTGGAAATTTTTTTTTTTATTATTTTATTTTTTATCAATGGAGAATTCATTGTTAATGTTACAACGTGGATAACCCATTAGAATATTTCATGACTAATTGTTAATTTAATTAAACATGGAAATTTGATATTTCATCCCTGATCAAACTCTCCTTTGGCTGATTAATAATAGGTTTATTTCTATTAGAGATAATAGTTGATATCAAAACAGTAATTTTCTATTTTTTTTCATTATGCAATCATCATAAGAAATCACAAGATGATTTGTTTAAACTTTAGGAAAAGAAAATCTAAAGAATTTTGCATTTTTCACGCTCATGTGCTACTTAGCTTGGTATTGATAGTTAGAAAATAAAGAAATAATGACAATATAATAAATAAATAAATAAACAAAACTAATTTACTTTTCTAAGCTAGAATATTTGTTCCTAAAAAAAAAAAGCTAGAATATTTGAAAATTAAGAATCGTCATCATATTTAATAATGACCTAACTTTTACAATTGAATTTAACATAATAAGATTTTTGATATGATTGAAAAATGCGTGATTTGGTTAATTCTTTTGGACTTTTCACCCCCAAATTGAAAAATCTCTGATGACTAATAATTCTATTCGAGTTGTTTGGTCACCTCCAACTTCAGGTGCTTGAATATTAATTTTGATGCATAGTTTTTTTTGTGACGATTCTGGTATTGTTCATAGGGAGGAACATAGGACGGATCAATCAAACCTTCTGAAATAGCATCACGAACCAAATGACAGTCAACTTCAATATGTTTCGTTCGTTCATGGAAAACCGGATTCTTTGCAATGTGCAAAACAGATTAACTATCACAAAATAGCTTGATAGCTTTAGGATGTTGCACTCCCAAGCTCAAAAGGAGTCATTTTAACCACTTCAACTCACATGTAATAGTGGCCATAAAACGATATTCCGCTTCTGCAGAACTTGTAGAAACCGTAGGTTGCTTTTTGGTTTTCCAAGAGATAGGAGAGTGACCAAGAAAAACAAGCCACCCTGTCAGAGATCTACGTGTCATGAGACACGCGGCCCAATCTGAATCACACCAGCCTTGCAAGATTAGATCACTGTCAGATCGTAACAGATTACCTTGACCTGGAGTACCCTTCATATAACGCACAACCCTTAAGGCTACTTCCCAATGCTCGACTCTTGGGTCTTGCATAAACTGAGATAAGATGTGAACCGATTATGCCAAATCAGGCCGTGTAATGGCTAGATAATCAACCTACCTACTAGTCTTTGATAGGTTTCAGGATCAAAAAGTACTTCACCACTAGCTAAACCAAGCTTGTGGTTTTGTTCAATTGGAAAGCCAACAGGTTTAGAACCTAACAAACCAATTTCAAAGATGATATCAAGAGTATACTTCCTTTGACAAAGGAACAAACCTACAGAGCTACGAGCAACCTCAACGCCCAAAAAATATTTCAAAGGGCCAAGATCTTTTATATGAAAACAATCACTGAGATAAGCTTTGAAAACCCTTAAAGCAGCGGAACCATTCCCAGAAATTATGAGGTCATCAACATACACAAGAACATCTATTTGAATATTGCTTATGGTGTATGTAAATAATGAGTAATCAGAATAAGATTGCAAGAAACCATAATTTTTCAAAGCTGATACAAGTTTAGTAAACCAACATCTTGGTGCTTGTTTGAGGTCGTATAGAGATTTGCGAAGACGACATACCTTATTAGGATTGGAAGACTCAAAACTCGGAGGAAGTTTCATGTACACCTCCTCATCAAGATCTCCATGGGGAAAAGCATTGTGGACATCCATTTGATGTAACTCTCAATTTTTAGAAGCCTCTATTGCAAGAAAAGCCCGAACTGTGACCATTTTAGCCACGAGAGCAAATGTTTCAGTGTAATCAATGCTTACTTTTGATGATTGCCAAACACTACTAATCTGGATTTTAGACGTTCAATACTCCCATCGGAGTTGTATTTGATCCGATAAACCCATTGACTACCAAGAGCTCGTTTTCAGGGAGGAAGATCTTCCATAGTCCACTGCCATTATTTTCCAATGCTTGAATTTCCTTTTTTATGGAGTCTCGCCAACCTGCATCATTCATGGCCTCCTTAAAAGACCAGGGTTCTTTGCCCGAAGTTAAAGCAGCAATAAAGTTTCGGTAATGCAAAGAAAAATTATCACAATTTATGTAATGTGCTATAGGATAAGGAGTACCTGAGGGATGCTTTGGAGACGATGTGTTAGGAGATGAGGAATGTTTAGGGTAAAAATTACCCTAGACACATGGCCCAATGAGGGCCTGACACGTGTCACCTCCCTATAGCACCATGGGCACCCAACCAATGGACGCCACGTGGCATTGTACCCCCAATGGGGGAGCAGATCCTCATCTGCTATAAATAGGGGAATCATCCTCATTTATTGACATTCATAAATACACACACCAGACCCGAGCAATATTAATTGCGGAATCTCCCGAGATCCGAGAGAAATACCCGTTTACTTTCCGCACGTAATCTCATCCGGAATCATACTAACTTGATCTTCGGAGGCGGAACTCCACCCAACCGGAGCTTCGTGGTTTTGCAGGTATACAGAAGTTAGGCGTGCATTCCCGGTGTTGTAACTCTCTCGCAGGACACCTCAGAATACCCCAAAACAAGGAAGATGGACTATTTGTGACAATCGTGTGAGTGACATAATCCCGAAGCTTGACTGACCTATACTTTTCCCGCATGCTACGACCCATTTCTGTGGTTTGAGACTCATCAAGACACTAATTGGAGGCTGTTTGGGGCTCAACATTTGCTGCGGGTTCTGCTGATGTTGCTACGGGAGTAACCTGCGGCTGGGCAGTGAGTTCCGCACCCCCCCTGTGGCTAGCAAGCATTTGCCGCGGGGAGCCTACGGAGTCCACTGGTTGCTCCTGCCTAGCAGGCTGTCCAGCAGGTGCTGCACTAGCATCTTGCGGTTGCTGAACAGTGTGGTCTATTCCAATATCCACGCCCAACTCGTCTCCGGCATGCATATCATTTAAGCCCTCAATTCCCTCACCCACGTGTTGAGGATCATAATCTTTCGCAATAAATTCCGCAAAGTCATAATCCACCTTACTTGTATTCATAGGAACAATATTTTCTGGACAATATTTGAAGAATCCGGGTCAAGAAACGGAAACTCATCTTTAAAAAATTTAACATCAAGAGAGACAAAAAATTCTTTCGAATCAAGATCAAATAGATTCCACCCCTTCTTCCCGAATGGATATCCGAGAAAAATACATTTTCTACTTCTACTTGCAAATTTGTCTCCGTGTGTCTTTTGATTATGAGCAAAACAAAGACAACCAAACATACGAATGGTGTTATAATTAGGGGAGTACCAAATAAAATTTCATACGGGGTTTTATTTTGCAATAAGGGAGATGGGATATGATTAATTAAATGGACGGCTGCTAGAACACTCTCCCCCCAAAAATAAATCGACGAATTAGCCTGAAATCTCAATGCTCTCCCTACATTTAAAATGTGTTTGTGTTATCTCTCAATCCTACCATTTTGTTGCGGAGTCCCCACACACGAGATTTGAAACAATATACCCTTCACAGAAAAAAAAAATCATGTAAACAATTAAACTCGGTCCCATTATCATTTT